CAAACCAACTAACATTGATCGCAAAAAGAATCTATATTGTTACTATCACATTCTATATCTTAAAGAACTAGTATATTGTCTCACAAACACTTTTACATGATCTATCTTCTTATAAGTACAGAATAGTTAATAAAAATATACAACACTACCAACCATTTAATTTATTACATTTGTAACAAATACCAAATTAGCAATCTACACAATTATCTGAACATTAAAATTACCAATAAAGCAAACATCATCTGGTCCTATATTACCATCTTTGCATTATTCAGGAAAAACTAAATTTCCATCTTAACAATTAGGAATGCATTTATTTTATATTAATTAATAGCCATTTTAACAACTTATACATAGAGAATTTACACATACTTGACAAAAGAGATCACAAGAATATTAACAGTAATTATATCCATCTGATGGATTAGTATTTCCATCATCGCACATCTCAGTTACACTTGTAACTATTCCATCTCCACAAATAGAATTGCATGTCCATCAAATTAAATGTACCCTCCTTTCTCTTCATCACATTCAAGGCATATTCCAAATTCACAATTTATACAATTGTTAGAGCAAGTATATTAACAATTTACACAGTTTTTAATTCTGTTTGGCATTATTAATACAAAGAAAGTTCCTTTCCTTAACAGATTGATCGACAGTCATTATTATAAACTTCATATCCACTTTTACATTAATAACATTTTCGATTGAAGCAAATAAAATATTCTGATATTGCATAGAATTCTTTTGTAATATTTGGAGTTGATACACCACATTTAAATTCAACATAGAGATTGTTAGCATTGAATTTGTCAAACTAACATTAAAAAAACGTGTGTTTTCATTACCTGTACGACCGATTAAATTTTATCCTCCACTAGGTTTAAAAAAGGGTCCTTACCAAACCAATAAACCACCTAATACTATTTTATTATTTAGAAAAGAAAATTCTTATTATGATGATAAACTATTAGACTCTGTAAAAGTATCAAAAATTTTATGATTTCCTGATAAGTCATATTTAAGTCATAATATCCTTTGGCTAAATATCTAGAATCTAAAAAGTAAATAATTAAATAATTTACATGGAATTAAATCTTCATAGTCTTTACAATCAGATGAGTGAATGGGGCAGGATAATACACATTTGTTTTTATATAATTTATATGTTGTATTACACTATTCACAAGTAGAAATATCAGTGCAAACCAAACAATTTTCTGAACAAAATCCTGTATCAACAGTGAAATTTCTTAATCCCCAAAATTCAGTTTCATCCTAAATTTATCCCGAAATCAAAATAACAGGATTAGAGTCAAAGATTTAAAATGTCATTTCTACTCTTAATACTCAAAGCTCATTTAAAAAAGCATTCCTTCAATGAATTAAAGTTTTCCTCTAAAATCAATTCAATTACAATTTCATAAACTAAATCAGTATTCTTAAGATGAAATTCATCTTTAATAAATATTAGAGGAGAATATCTTTAATTTAATTAAGGAACATTAGATTTTTAAAATAATGATAAATTTTGTTTTATGCGAGCATCATATACACAAATTTTATCAAAACGAGCTAATGAATAATCCCTATCACATTCTTATTTACAACCAATTTAAATTTCAGAAAATTATTAATCAGATATACATTAACATTTACCACCTGATACACTTTGATTATTAAAACACGTTAAACATTATGTTTCTGAAGGTCCATTACAAGTTAAGCATGTTGGATAGCATGTATTTACATAAACAAGCATATTTCTAATTCCTATCGCCATATTGTCACTCCTAGGTTAAAAACAAATTTTATTTTTAAAATCATTTGTGTTAGAAATACCACTTGTACTGACTATTGTTTATTATTCAAATTTGCTTGAATCACTTATACATATTAGGCCACTATTTTATAATAAATTGTTTTCTCTTTATACTCTTGTATATATTTCTTAATCATTTTATGATCCTTGATTACTATCGTATTAGACTTTCAAATATGAATACTCATCATTTACATCTTCAAAAAAGCATCAAAAATTGCTTAAACTTAATAACACCTATATTTAAAGGATTTTTCTAAATATCGCTCTTCATGTGTCAATTTTACGTACTATAGGGAATTTTAACTGCAAGTTTATTTTTAGAATGAAGTATCAGATCCTGAACAACTATCTTTCATCTTCCAATTATTATTGGAAATTTGCACTTCGGAAAAACTGTAATCTATCAGTTTACAATCAGCTAAAATTTGGAGTACAATGAATGAAAACTAAGCAAACGTCATAAAATGATGATAAAAAATAATTAAAGTTTCAATAAAAATTCCTTAATTACTTAATGTATTGCGCATTTTATGAGTTTTAATTAATATATATGTTTGTATAAATATGCTTAACATTTGATCTTTTTAATTTTTTCATTATTAGACATTTCCGTTAGTATTTTATATTTTTATTTTGTATTTTGGACTTGCAAGACAATATAAATTTTTAATCTATTTTTAGAATAAATTTCATAATAAAATTTTCAAAATATTTTAGGCTAATGGAAAAAATTAATATTGAGAATTAAAAACATAAAATTTAATTTAAGAATCACTGTTTCATTTATTCACCAGATTAAATTTATATTTCCTAAAAAAAGTTTTTTATTTTTTTATTGATTCGGTCCTTTAGTTTTAAACATATTCTATAAAATATTAAGGATGAGATTTATGAATTGAATTGATGAATTCTAGCTATTTTTTATTCATATATTATAATAAAGGATTTAATTTATTTTGGAGAAATATAAATCCAAAAGCATTAAATTCAATAAAAATACTTAAATTGATATATCTAATCCTTTAGAATAATTAAAATGAAATGACTATTTATAGCATTCCATTTCAAAACATAAAATGTAAAAAAATCAATAATTTAAATAAATATATTTATATTTTAAGATGTTATTTTTGTACATATCTGATACGGTTACAAGAAAGAGCTAGTTTTGATATAACAAATTGAAAAATATGAAAAAATTATTAAATATTTCATTATCAAATATATTCAGAAACTTTAATAAATTATTCATTGTATAATTTAAAAATTATTCTTTTAGATAATGATTCGATTTACTAAAAAGCAGAATAGGTTTTTCAGAAATCTGGATAGTTTTATTTTAAATTAAATAAATATTCATATAAAAATTGTTTGTATATTAAATTTGTGCATTTAATTTAGAGTATTAGCTTCAAAACTCTGGATTAAGTATATTTAAATAGAAAAAGCTTCATTAATATTAATATTAAAATTCATATTATTTGTTAGCTTAACTAAATTGGATTTGAGTAATTATCGAAGGAAATTTTAGTTGAGAAGGATTTTATTGAAATATTTTATATTTTGAAATAAATACTTTCCCTTAAACAATAAATTATTTATTAAATTTATTCCTCATTTTTTCTTTTAATCTAAAATCTTATAATATGAAAATCAGTTGTTTGAGATTGCTTCCTCTTGTTGCGTTAAAAAATATAATTCTAAAAGTTAATTTATTTTTATCTATTATTAAATAATTTAAAATATGAATTTGTAGAGATTCCACTTTATTTTGTAATTTTAATAAAATAATGCTCAAAAAAAATTAATAAGCTTGTATAACCTAGCTTGCCTTGACATGTAAATTGAGTGAATTAATTGTGAAAATGTGAAATGATTTAGTAAAAAATGCAAAATGCTTAACTATTTAAGTTGAAAAAACTATAACTCCTGAATGATGTTTGCTTATAATAATAGAAACTAAAGAATATTTTTATTTAATTTGATATATATTACAATTGTAAGAAGATAATGACGAATAATGCCTTTTTTGAGACTAAGGATACCTATTTTATAGCTTGATACAAAGTTAAATAATTTGACCTTATTTATAACAATAGAACAGTAATACATAATGATAACAATTAATATATTCCTAAACAAAATCATTTCTAATTCAGAAAGTCCTTACAATGAATGGCATTAAAATTTTCGAATTTATTGGATTTTCATGAGTATTTTGAAATAAATTAATTAATATTACCCAATTATCTTATTTATATTACAATAAAAAAATCATATAGAATACTATATAATATGTTTTTAGTGGAAATAAATAGAGACTTGTACAATCATATATTTCCTAAATCCAAACTAAATAAAGCTGATTTTTTTCATTTTATGTTAAACAAAAGATCACATTTAAGTTAATAAACTAAATTTTTAGATATTAGTATTTTTTATGACAATAAAAGATGTTAAATATTCTCAAAATTGCATGATTTATATTTATTAAAACCAATTTGTTCACAAATTATCATTTATAATTGTTGTAAATATAAATAAATCAACCATATAAAAATTACAAAATACCTAATAATTTGGATTTAATGTTCAAGATAAATTGTAATAAAAATAGAAATTCAATGAATATCGATAGCTAATTAAGGTTCAGAATACCCAAAAAATATGAAACTTTGATTGGAAATTAAATATTTGGCTAAAATCATCCAAAAAAATCAACACATTCAATAGAGAAATGCAAAAGATAAAAAATCAGGTCCAACTTTAATTAATCATATTTTTGACTTTAAATGAATTTAGATAGAAAAGAAATAATTTATTAATTGAAAAACATGAAATGGAGCATAAAATAGTTTTAAAAATGAGCTTTTCATTGAAATAAATAACAGAAAAAAAAAATCTAGTGATATTGCAATAACAATATTTCCTTGATAAGGAATTTTGATAAATAATGGGTTGGTAGTTTGAAAAGAATTTGTATTGAAATATAGAGTTGTTGAATAAATAGAATGCTTTGTTCACACATTAAAGTACTCATAATTAAATTTAAAAAGAAGAAATGTTAATATAGATAATTTTTAAAGCTTTTATTTAGAAATCTGGATTTTGTTTTCCCACCTAATTGACTGAAGATAAAATTAGACAAATTAAATTTTAATTTATAAAAAAGTAAGCATTATGAAAACCTTTAAAATTAGTCTAATTCTTCTAAAATATTTTTATTTTGAAATTTCTACCTTTTTAGTATTTCTGGTCATATTTTAATTTATAAATGTATGAGTGATAACTTTAAATGAAAAAATTGCTTTATATGAAGTTGGCTGAATCATTCTAACAAATATCTTTTTTGAAATCATCTAGAATAATAAGTATAAGGTTTGAATTTAAAAAATTTTTGAATATCTTTTTAGACATTATGTCTTAATTTTCCAGGAATAATTTAATTTAGGCTGATACTTAAATAAGAAGCTTAATATTATTTTCAAATTCTCTCAATAAATATTTTTTAGTTCTGAATGGAGCTAAACAACTATGGGCTCAATTTTTATTGTTTTTATCTTTAAGATTATAGAGCGTTTAATTTTTTCACACTAATAAATTTGAAATTTGTATTTTTTTTAACTATTGATATGGTATTCTTTTTATCCTCTCTATACCTTAAAAAATATATGAATATCAAATTCTTCGTAATGAAGATTATTTTTTTTTAAATACTCTATAATTCATATTATTAGAAGATAAAATGAATCATAAATTTTTTTAATAAAATAATAGAATGGGGAGTAATTGTTCAAGTTAATAAAATCAATAAAAGAAATTCAATTACCCTGTAATGTAATAAAATTATCTAATTCTAAAAAGAAATAAATAATAGGTTGCTAATGATATTTAAGACAAATAGCCAAATAAACCTTAAATGTATGAATGCTTGTTTATTGATGCTTTAAATGGAAAAAAAAGGCAGATAAGTAAATGTAACCTAAAAGAAGAAGAAGAATAACAATAGTTAAAAGTAATAAACAAAAATCCTAACTGTGTGAATTGGGCATATGAAAAGAATACATTGGAGAAATTTAAAAACATTTGTGGAAAGCACATTAATATTCTGAAGATTTATGATATTTAAGAAGATGAATAAAGGTGTTTTGTTTACACCGAACCATTTGAAATGAGCCTAGAATATTTTTTTCAAGAAAAAGATAAAACTTAAAGTTTTAGTTTTAATGAAATATGTGATTATGGTAGTCAGATAGTGAAAGGATATCAATGTTTGAGAAACCAAAAAATCATATTGAGAGATTTATCACCAAAGAGTATCTTAATTTAGAAAATTCCAAATAGAATAATTTTAAAAGTAAGTATTTTATAATTAATAGATATCGAATTTTAGTTCAAGATCTATTAATGAATATGAATAAATGGATTCTCCTACTGAAATTCCATTCTATATTGCTCCAGAAGAACTCAATAAAGACCAAAATTAATTAAGATTTAATGATTCATGTTTTATATATTCTGTAAGAGTGATTACATATAATTTACAAGCTTGGGATAATTCTTTTCATGATGTGCTATAATGGAGAAAGACCAGAAAAAATATATAACTCTAAAGATCTCAAAAAATTTCATGAAAATCTTAAACTATATGGCTTCTAATATCCAAACAATCCTAATTATCCAAAAAGTATTTTTAATTTAATTGAAAAAATGATTGTTTATAACCCAAATAATAGATTATCTTGGGATTAGTTAGAAAAAAACTTTACTCAAAATTTTCTTATTTTAAAGGAAATATATTTTGTAGACCTAAATAAGCCTATTGGTTCAGGAGCATAAGGAGTAGCTTATCATGCATATGATTTAAAAAATAAACAAGAATTAGTTTGCAAGACTATTTAAAATAAGTCTTTTGGAATCTCAAGAGAAATTTAAATTTTTTCATAAATCAAAGATAAATAACATGAAAATGTGATCAAAATCACTGAAATTATATTAAAGAATGATTATACCTATTTAATTATGGAGAAGTGCGATATGAGTCTACGAATTTATTTAGAGCAAATTTAAAAAAATGGACAGTTACTATCAAATAAATAGATAATTAAAATATTATACTAAATTGTCGAAGGTTATTGTTTTCTTAAGTAACTTGGAATAATTCATAGAGATTTAAAACCAGATAATATTTTATTGAAGCTGAATAATAAAGGGAAACATGTTGTCAAAGTATAATTATTAAACTTCAATAGATCATAGATTTTGGACTTGGTAAGATTATAGGGTAAGATCTTACTTCAACAATGGCTGGAACTCCATTATATGCAGCCCCAGAAATCTTCTAAGGATAAAAGTCTTATGATTATTAATGTGATATCTTTTCAGTACTATTTAATTATTAATCTATAGTTAGGAGTGATTTTACATTAAATGGCCTTTCAAAGAATGATTAAAAATATTAGAGCCAGAGGGGAGCTTCTTCAATATCACTAGTCTTTAAAATATCAACCATTTATATGTCCAAATCATTAGGTATTATGATGTTGAAATTAGAATCCTTTATTCTCTGAACTTATTAATCAAATGATTGTGTATGAGCCTACAAAAAGAATTAATTGGGAATAATTACAAGCTCATTAAATTTTTGATGAAATTAAATTAAAACATCTTAACTCAATCATTTAAGATCCATTTGTCTAATCATAAAATCAATAGCTTTTAGGATAAAAATTATATTGTCCAATTTAATAACCTTCTTCTTCCTCTGAAAATGTTAAGACAGAAATATATCAATATATTATTTCTCTTCAAACTTTATCATTTAAGATCTTTCTCATGTTTGAAGAATTCTAAAAGTAAGACTAAATTTTACATGATGAAATACTAATATCCAATAAATTTATTATTAGATTTAGCATATCATGTTTGATGAGTATTCTTCAGCTACAATAAAGTGGTTCTATAATTTTAGATGAAGAAGAATATAAATTAAAATCAGCATCCAACTTCTAAAATTGGTTAAATTAAATTAATATTAAATAATTGATTAATGAAAAAAAAGAAAAATACAATATTTTATAAACAGCATAAACCCTCAATAAAACTTAAATCATTAATGAAGGGAATAACCTCTTAACTGAACTCAATAATTTGTTTTTAAATAAAAATAGAAATCCCAACTTTTTGCACACTCATAAATACTTTAATAAATTTTATCAACAAGTAAGAGTTAATTTTTTAAAATCTAATATACCACTAAAGAATAGATACTTTATGGAAAAGTTTTCCAATATTTTCATTTAATTTCCAATCAGGAATTACGAATAAATTAAAGAATCTTAAATTGCCTAAATAGTTTGTATAAAAGAGAAAATGGAAACTTATATTAACAATCAAATTAGCAATATTTGAACATTTAATTTATTTTTATTATTATATTACAAATTCTTAATAGTTATTTATAAAATAATTATAAAAATTATGGAATAAAATTTATCATTATTTATTTCCTTTAAAAAATGCTGATGAGATCGAAATCAAACTAAGCAAATTTCTTCTTAAAAAAATTTAAATCCCGTTTTACATATTCCACTGTATCTATTTCTATTTAAAAATAGTGTTTTTTGTATTTAAATTTTTAAAATTGGAGAAATTTTTTAGAAATAGAACTTACAAATTTTTTAACCAATTATAATAAGTTTTAGAATAATAAACAAAATATATAAGTTAAGACATCTATATTGGGAAATTATAATTCAATAATTAATAGGTTAAACCTTATTATTTAAATATTTTACGAATTATAATTAGAATCAAAATAAGTGACTTGAATCAGCTTAATGATTATATCTCAAATTAAATTGATGCTAATATTTTCTTAATAATAATAACTATTATAATCAAAAGTTAGCAGCATTAAAATTAAATAATATTATAGAGTTTCAATATATATATCACACAATTTAGCAGTTTAATATTTAATAAAAAACAATTATGAGCTCTTTAACTTGTAGAAACTAAGTATCAATTAGATTTAATTGAATTATGATTAAAAATGGTCTTGATATTAATATTTGAAAAACTATCAGAATTAAATCAAAATAGACTAAATTTCTACTAACCTTTGCTTTTATATCAGTATAATCTTTTAGTATTTTTTAGGAGAATTGTTTTCAAATAAAATAGTTACTTAAAGAAATTATATGGATTAGGTAAGTCTGTTTCTGGTGGAGACTGAACATTTATATACTTAAAGTGCAATAATTACATAATTTCTATAGATAAAATTTTATTTCCTCTCTAATGAAATTTAGACATGTTAATTGAAAATAGGAACTTTTTAAAATTTGAAAGACTTAAAATAATTGTAAACCCTTGTTTCTTAATTTAAATATATCACCTTAATTATTCCCTTTTTCTTGTCCTAACTACATTATTTAAATCATCATATTACCCAAAATATTTATTTCAAATACAATTTTGATTATAAAAATATTTAGTAAACTTTATGAAGATTTTAATATTTTAGATTCTTTTGGCATATTTGAAAAATTATGCCATATGTAGTATTATCTTAGAAGATTAGAGATATAATTTTCCATTAGAAGCCAACAACTCCAATACAATTTATTTGAATGATTATACTTAGGAGATTGTTTAAGCCCCGTATTATTCAATTCAAAGTTCTAACTAATTCAATTTAAAAATTGATTAATCAATATCACAACTTGGGAACTTGAATTTTAGTAAATTTTATGAATAATATTAGATTAATCAATAAGAATAGGAAGTAATTTTATTGCTCAATCTGGAGTGTATTCTAATTGTTTTTGGGCCTTAACTGAAGAATAGACACTTTTTAAAGGATTAATAAAAACAAATGGAGAAATATAAATGACTTAATTAGATTTTATGATTTCAATGGGTAATATAAATTATAGATTGTAGATTGTTTTTAAATTAGTTTAATTATGAATGATTTCTTGATGTTGAGTTGTTTTAACAATGGAGATTTATGCTTTTCAATTTTAAATACTACCAACTTTGAAAGTACAGAATTCATCGTTAATTATACATTATCATCATAATATTAAAATCCAAATGTTTAAATCCTTTCTGTAAACAATACCAATTTTACTTTTTGTTTGATATATACAACACCTCTTAATGCACATATTGTTTATTTTACTAATAATTAAATTGATATAGATTTGATAGAAGAAAAAATTTTTGAAGGGTTATTTACAAGGGCAATCTTATCAGAAAATCAAAATTTCCTATTTATGATAAATAGTAATTATGTTTATTTAGCTGATTTAACAGAAAATACAGGAGTTTAAATAATAATAAATTAGCATATTTTAAATCCGAAAGATCATCAACCTATTACAGAATTTTAAATTTTTTAGATTAATAAAAATATTTTCCATATAGTAGTTTTATAAAATAAGATACTTAATTCTTTTTTATTTGACTCTTAATTTATTGAATAAAATGCTTTAATAAAATAATTTTAGTTGAATGAGTATCATTAAATTATTCAATTTGAGGTTACTTTATACAATATTTACTTGATTACAGATACTTTCATTATAAAACTATTATGCAAAAATTCTATTAAAGCTACAAGCTATCATTAACTAAATTTTGGAAACTACGCATTTTTATAACTCTTACGTAAAATTGCGGTGGTTCAAGAATCTTTTAATAATAATACAACTATAATTTCTACATACTTAATGAATTAACCTTAAATATTTATTTCTAAAGATATCACAAAATTGATGGAATTATAAGTAGTGCCAGAATAGCTTAATATTTAAGTTACTTCGATGTTAAGTTTCAAATAAATTCATTGCAATTTTTCAATTTAATTAATTTTAATAGATATTAGAAAAATTTAATAACCAGTCTTATTTCAACAAATATTGAATGATTAAGTATTTAGATTTCCTGAATAAAAAGTTAGATAAGAAAGTTAAATATTTTATGGTCCTAATTTGACTCTAGCAATTTTATCTAGTAAAAATTAATATCTTTCAGTATATACACTTTTACATACTTTTTCATAATTTTCATCCCCAAATGTCATTTATCAAATAGGATGTACATTTTTTTAGTCAGAGTAAATTCTTTGCGTTTAATTCTCAAACAAAATTATACAAATTTCCAATAGTAATTAAAAATCACAAAATTTGATAAGAACTACCTTAACTTTGATTAAATGCTCTTGTGTTAAATCTGAATCAGTAATTAATGTTATTATGTAATTTAAATTTACAGTATATGTTCAATAATATAATTATGATTTGATTCCTATTAATTTTATTGAATTTCCAAACTAAATTGAGATAATTAGTGCTACAATATTAAAAAAGATATTATTTATTGTCTTTATTAATGGTTAATTGACAGCAACAACTTTATCAGATTAGTAATTATAATTTTAGATATCTAACTTTAAAATAAATCAGATTTATACAAATCAAGTTGATTACCCTGATAATCTATTTTTAGATAGTTTTTCTGAGTTAATAATTTTAGCATATAACGGAAAATAGTCATATGAAATTGTTAATTCTATCACTTACCCTCTTTAGGAATATGAAAATATTGGTATAGGTATTTTATAAGATGGAATATATTTTGCCTATCGCAATAAAACTCAAAGTTTTCTATATTTTTATCCAAAAGAAAATATTTTCATATAAAATAGCTATTAAAATTACTTTTAGGTTTATTTAGATGACTATCAAATTTATTAATAGACCAACATTTTGAGTGCTTTTTCATCAAATAATTTCTATTTAATATTGGAAAAGGATAATTTTTGCTATTTATCTTAGTATTAAGCAACTGGAACATCTTACTCTGCTTTAAAGAGTTCTTATTGGATTTTTGATGCTTCATAATATTCTCTCCTCTAATTGAGTATTATATCTTAAAACGAAATCAAATTTGAGGTAGAAATAATTTATATCAACACTGATTCTTATAAGTTAATACAGTATCCATTTTTGAGTTATGAATTTATGTTTACTACACATTACAATGAAAATGATATAACTGAGTAACTTCACATACTATATAGCGCAGAAAATGGAAATTTCATTTAATCGATTTTATAGAATGTAACTATAATTTATGAAAGCAATTTATTAGTAGCTATTAATTCTGATAATGAAAAAGTTTATTAAATTGAAGATTATGCAAATATTAAAATTAATCCATCACACCTTTTTTTTGGAAATATTTAGAATTATACAGTAATTTGTGATTTATGTAAATCTTTTAATTATATTTAACCAATTGATAAAATTAATTCCTACTCCTTAAACATAGGCTATCAAAAAATTTTAAATTAAAAAGATTTCATTTATATATCAGATTAATAAAATAACTTATATTAATTTCATCCTGAAATCAGATAATTATCTATGCTTTATAGATTATAAGTTTAAAATGATTAAAAATGTGAAGCCCTTTTCATTGAAATCTAAACTTAATTTCCTGTGTAAATTTGTTCTGGAGAATCAACCTATATATATGCATTCAACACATCTTCAAATTAAATTATTACATATGAGTTTTCAGAAATTAGTTCATATTTTAGTTCAGACTACAAAAATTGTATTCTTTAAGTATTTACTAATAATGAAAGGACTAAATTAGATTATTTTGCATTTTATTTTTGGATTTAAAATAACGAAATAAATCTCATGTAAATTTATAAATCAATAGCAGTATGCAGCTTTTGTTAGGTTACTTATGTTTATTTAAGATTATCATAAAACTTTACTTCTCAGCCTTGTTAAATATTTGGATTCATGACTACTAGTAGCAGTGGTTCTGGTGATAATATAGTTTTTAATCTACAAAATTGCATTCCTACAAAAATTTGTATAATTTATGGATTTACACCTAATGTAACTAATTCATAAGGTAATATTTATTTTACTAAATCTGTTTGGAAATTAAAAGAAAAAGTTCTTTTTATTGAACCATTTTATCAACCTACGATGTAATTTGGAACTTCGAAATAAATTTCTGAAACAATTATTGAAGCTAAATTTATTGTCTCCTTTCTAGATGCTATTGATTTGTATCTAATTTTATTTAATTCAACTAATGGTGAAATTATTTCTTTCGCAAAAGATCAAAGCTTTTACTTAGCTTGCAGCCGTCATATTTCATTATGTACAATAAATGAAGGGGCTGATGATATGTTGTTAATTTAAAACTCCCAGCAAAATGGATTTTATATCCCTCAAATCTACTCATATGAGGATCAGAAATATGAATTAGATATCAATACTTAAAAAATGAATAGAATTATAGGGTTTGAAAATATTCAATTTGTTTCTAAAACTTCAGACATGACTGCTTCATTATCTGGTAACTATTATATTTTAGGGAATCATACTCATTCTCAATTATACTATGTTTAAAATTATCTAACATTATAAATTGATTTAAAAGGAATTCAAAATGCTTAAATTGATATCATCAGCCATAATCCCTCTAAATAAATTAAATTATCCTTCCCTGTTTTCAATCAAAATTATATAATCAAATCTAACAGAGTAATTCTATATATAGTATTTTGTTTTCTATTTCTTATCATTATACTTCTTTTGATATTATCAAGGTATTGCTTAAAAAATAGGAAAGAATAAACACTTAGGCCTTTAAGTTATGAACTGATTGAAAAGTGAATAATAATTAATAGAAAAGAATATTTTTAAATAATTAGATCAACATTTTCTATTTTCTGTTATTAAATATTTAATATAATTAAAGTTGTTTAATTTTTCTATTAATTAAATAAATTTTTATAATGTGAAATTAAAGATTGAAGTAAGGCTTATTATTTATTCATCAGATTTCTATAATTATAAAGGCTCATAATTAATTGTAAAAATTTCCTTCAATCTAAAGTTGTTATACTAATTTCATTCTTTAGAAATTCTAAAAATCTAAATATATTTTTTCAAATATAAAGCATTTAAGTTTTTATGTAATGTTTAATTTAAAGCTTCTAAGGTTTGATTTTATTTTTGCCATTTATTCAATTATATTTTGCAAAAAAATATAAATTTCTTTTTATTAATCAGTTATTTTTTTAAAAGAATTTATACTTTAAATATTACTAGCAATTTCAATAAAATGATTCTAAAAGTTCATAATATTGAGAAAGCAACCTTACAAATATAAAAAAACTGTAACAGAAAATTGAGTTTTCTTGATTTTATTCATATTTAGGTTTGAAGGATAATGCTATGAATTAAAAAAATTTGATTTAATTAAATGAATTATTCATATAAATTGTTAACTTAGTTTAAACATATGTTTAATATCTCTTTAAATAAAGAATTATTTTATCATTATATTACAAGTAAAATTAAATAATACTCTAATCTGATATAAAATATATCTATATTTTCTATCTAAAAAAATGAAATACATAAGAATAACTTAGGAATTTTATATTTTGCTCCAAGAATTTTTCATGACTCTGAAAAAATTTAAACTTTCGAAAATAGAAAGAACAAAAAAAATTTTGAAGATTTATAATAATGTTGTTCTTATATTTTTTGGTTATTATAATGATACAACCCAATTGATGACTCAATAGTAATTAAAATACCTCATACTGAATTTAATATCTTTAGAAACAAAAAAATATTTTGAATTTTTATTTGGTAAGTATCCTAATATAAAGCTTATCACAATTTATAAGATAGAATCAATTCATTAAAGGAAATAATTTGATAATATATAAAAGTTAAACTTTCTTAATTTTTGCTTAGCCTGAAATAATAACAGCCATTTTCGTGTAGTTGCTTAAATAAATTGATGAAAAATTACAATAATTAATTACAATTGTTTAGTTTATGTGACCCTATCATTATAAATCGCAAGAATCTAATTACGAAAGTAAAGTTCTTACTTTAAAATGATCAAACGATTGTATCAACAATAAATCTTAAGCATTAATCCAATAATTTTCACTTACTTTTTTAGGGGTTTAACATTAAATTTATCATCCGAGTTTCAATTAGATTTGACAGTTTCATAAAATTTCCCTCTACATCTTCTATGTTTAATTATCTATATTTCATTCAGCTCATCCTAGTCAAAATTTAACTGATACATTCCCTTACCTGTTTAAAGCATAATCAATAGCATTGTATGTACATTTTATTATAATAATTTTAGAAAAAAACTAATAAATTGAAGATCATAGAAATTTAATACTTGAATATATTAAAAAGACGAACACATATTTTATAAGTATAAATTTTATATTTCATTATTTAAATAATTTTTTCACATAAATCGATAATGATTTTAAATTTAAATATTTATCAAAATTATAAGAGATAGATAAATGATGATTTTTGTGAATTTTGGAAATTATATGTTTTTTTTCATATAAATATGCATTATTGAAATTATCATATTTATAATAAATACAATATGAATATAAAATAATAAAGGGAATTTGAATTTTTTTTTAATCAACTTTTTGATGTTTGAATGAAAATAAACAAAGATTGGGATAACAAGATGAAATTTTATTATTTTAAAGGAATAAAAACTGATCTAATGAGTTTAAATAATTCTTATGTGAATAAATAAGTTCAATAAAAAAAACTAGGAAATTCTACTTCTTTATGCAAACCTTTAATCAAAAAAGCTCAGACAAAAAATATTTTTCAACAAAAATTGTAATTCAAATAAAGTAATTAACGTTAAAATAAAATAATAGAGTAAAGTAAATTATTTATATCTATTAAATTTGAATATAATTATATTAAATCAATAAATCATTTAAATTAAATAAACCTATACCTTTCTTCATAATTTTATCTAGTTTAGAAGAGGATTATTGAAGACTGATTGCAAATTAATTATTTCCTAACAAAAATATTATTAAAAATACCCTTAGGTGTTGATTTGTTTTTCTGAATTTATATGATTATCTTAACCTTTTTATGTTATGTATTGTTCTATCTTCCTATTATTTCCAAGATTTCAATATATTACTCAGAGCTTGAGATACTCCTTTACAAAAAGGTTATTTTTTAAAAAGATTTAATAATGCATTGCAGAATTAAAATTTGTATTTTTTATAATAGAATTCAAAAATATTGAATATAAAAGGAAAGCTTAATTTAATGCATAAAAGTAGAATTAAAATTTAAATAATTTATGAATAAAAGTTATTATCTCCTTAATCTCCAATATATAGCACTAAAGCTAAAAATATTGCAAAAGAACAAAAATATCCTGTTTGAATATCTAATTTATTTAATTTTTGATTNAGACGAACACATATTTTATAAGTATAAATTTTATATTTCATTATTTAAATAATTTTTTCACATAAATCGATAATGATTTTAAATTTAAATATTTATCAAAATTATAAGAGATAGATAAATGATGATTTTTGTGAATTTTGGAAATTATATGTTTTTTTTCATATAAATATGCATTATTGAAATTATCATATTTATAATAAATACAATATGAATATAAAATAATAAAGGGAATTTGAATTTTTTTTTAATCAACTTTTTGATGTTTGAATGAAAATAAACAAAGATTGGGATAACAAGATGAAATTTTATTATTTTAAAGGAATAAAAACTGATCTAATGAGTTTAAATAATTCTTATGTGAATAAATAAGTTCAATAAAAAAAACTAGGAAATTCTACTTCTTTATGCAAACCTTTAATCAAAAAAGCTCAGACAAAAAATATTTTTCAACAAAAATTGTAATTCAAATAAAGTAATTAACGTTAAAATAAAATAATAGAGTAAAGTAAATTATTTATATCTATTAAATTTGAATATAATTATATTAAATCAATAAATCATTTAAATTAAATAAACCTATACCTTTCTTCATAATTTTATCTAGTTTAGAAGAGGATTATTGAAGACTGATTGCAAATTAATTATTTCCTAACAAAAATATTATTAAAAATACCCTTAGGTGTTGATTTGTTTTTCTGAATTTATATGATTATCTTAACCTTTTTATGTTATGTATTGTTCTATCTTCCTATTATTTCCAAGATTTCAATATATTACTCAGAGCTTGAGATACTCCTTTACAAAAAGGTTATTTTTTAAAAAGATTTAATAATGCATTGCAGAATTAAAATTTGTATTTTTTATAATAGAATTCAAAAATATTGAATATAAAAGGAAAGCTTAATTTAATGCATAAAAGTAGAATTAAAATTTAAATAATTTATGAATAAAAGTTATTATCTCCTTAATCTCCAATATATAGCACTAAAGCTAAAAATATTGCAAAAGAACAAAAATATCCTGTTTGAATATCTAATTTATTTAATTTTTGATTAATGTATGGCTAAAATTATATTGCAATGAACTAATAAGCTTATAAAGTCATTGCAATAAAAACTCCTTTCAATAATACATTTGTTTCAAAATAAATTAATAATATTGTAAGTATTGTTTTTTTCCATAATTTTATCCACTCCCAAAAATAATTACTTTCTGTATATTCATTAAACAAATATCCAATATGTTTTCTAAACCTAATTTCATTAATTTTGTGACTTTTCATGTACAAAACTAATAAAAAAGTTAAAGGTAATATTAGTCCAACAATCATTAGAATTGGGACAGCAAAATAATATATCCATTGTAAATGATTACCATCCCCATAAAATAAAGAAACATCTCCTTAAATATAATTTATATTTGAAATTTATCTTTTTGATATAATTGAAAAAAGCCTAAAAAATAGTGATTAAAATATACTATTTTATTAAAGCAGAGTAATTTTAAACAAATAAATAAAGTATAGTAACAGAAATTATGCTCTAATCAACTTCTTTTTTTGATATAATTGACATTATATTGAATCCAATTTAGATTAGAATTATTTAGAAATTCATCAAAATAAACATTGCTATAACTCTGCTATAAATTAATTCTGAATTGAATAATTCAATAAGCTAACAATCTAAGTTACTAGCCATGAAATAAGAAGTATCACTTGTTCTACTTACAAAACTAAAACTAAAAGTAAAATTTATATTAAATGTAAAAATTAAAGAAAATATCCATAAATAGTTAAAGAAAAGTTTAAGTAATATACTATCCTGATCTAAATAATGATATTTGATTTAATACCTAAATTAAGTTTAAATAAAATTTAGCCAAATCTTTAGCTTATTTGATAGCATGTAAACTTCTTATTGGTAGTTAATATACTATTTAAAGTTATTATATTTGATATAAAGGCCCTAAATAATAATATAAATATATACCAAATAGAAGTGAGAATGAATGGCAAAATATTATTAATCAGATTATTACATTCAAGACATTTTTAACCCTATTCATTTTAAAAATATTATCCCAGTCCTCTAACATTATTGGTATCGCACTATTCACATAATCCACCAATATGTCCAATAGCACATAGATCATTTCCAACTCCCCATCCACCTTTACAAAATTCTAGATTTTTAAAACATTCTTCAATTCTATCTGATAAATAATAGGGTCTCCAATAACCCATTTTTAATAAGATATTATTTGAAGTTATTGCTTCAAATTTATTTTTGTCAAAAATAGAGCATTAAGTTGAATTGTATGTAACAGAATAATATCCTTAACTCGATTAACAAATTTAACAATCATTAGAAACATAAAATTCCCCTAATTCACAAAAGAGACTTTTAACTTAAAGATTATATTGAAAACTGATTTCATTATTATTCACTTTACAGTAAGCTTAAATCTCATAAATTTTATCATGTTATTGATAAGGATCAAATTAAAAAATTTATGAACCTATATCAAAAGTATTTGTTTTAGAATCAAATTCTATTTTAGAAATAGTATTTGATTCTAGTTCTTTTACTTTCATAATATCATAAGTTTTTTATATTATTGAACATGATGAATTAATAAAGCTTCTTAACTATTCATTCATTTAATTCTTAAAAAGTATTGACAATTCAGTTATATAAGAGATATATTTTTACGTTTTAGTATCATATATCCTATATCCTGATATATATTAATTACTAGGAATCATTAAAAAATTTGTTTATAATATCTTTCCTTAAGATAATATTTTATATGGTTTTAATTTTAACATTCTTATTACATTATTTTTGATTTCTGATGTTGGTTATGATATCATTTCTATATTGTTTAATGATAAATCTAAATGAGAAGGAAATTCCTAAATATTGTTTGTTGATTCTAATGCAGTATTTAGAAATAATAAAGAAGAATTAAAATTGTTTTTTGTTAAGCTACTTGTTCCATTTATGTAAATTCCTCCTCCTTCCTTAGCTGTATTAAATAAAATAAATGTTTAATATATCCTAAAATCTTCTGAAGATACTAATCCTAAATAAATACCTCCGCCTGTTAAATTAGCAGTATTATTTAAGATTTTTGTATTACTAAATAAAACTTTAACATTATTTGATTTTAAAGCCATACCTTGAGTACCTTAATTCAAAATAAAATTAGAATAACTTGTAAATATTTTTGCATTAAGGTTTTAATCAGAATGTGCGTTAATACATCCAAATTATTTTACAATATTGTTTATGCATGATAACTCTTTAATTAATATTTTTTCAAAATCAATCAAACTTAAGTAAATTAATCCATTCTAACAAATTTCGCAGTTATTATCTTATATTAAAAGTGATTTTAAATAAACTTTTAAATTATTTGAAGAACTTTTTAAGTATATTAGCGAACCCTCATTAATGTTAAGCTATTAGAGTTACTCTAATAAATGAGTATTATTATAATACTCTTAATTCGATTGTTTAACATTTATATATTTGATTGAATTGCATTTTTCAAATATTTATGTAATGTTTGGTACAAGGTAATATCTGAGAGAGTAATCTTTCATTATGCCTTTCTTTATATTCTGTATAAATATATTTTTAATATAGATGATAGATTGGATTGATCTACCTTATTCTATGACAATTAAAGATGATGGATAAAACAATTGCACATCCTATATCAAAAAGTCCGTTAAAAATATCTTAAAACAATCTACTATTTTGATTAGAGGTAATATAAGTAATCCTTTAATTTATAATCTTTTTATTGATATATCACAACCTTATATATAGATGATTGCATTATCATTATTATTTTTCAATAAATCTCTGGAATCTAAATAATCAAGTTTTTGATGAAATAAGATTAATCCTTCAATATTATGTATAATAATTAAATTATCTATTATTACTTGATTGAAATCACTATTTTATGAATCAAAATTCAACTGAAAAAATGAGTTGCTCAAAGAATAGCAATTTTCGACTTAAAAATCTTTAAAGATAATTTTATTCTTAAAAGGCGAAGGTGAAATTGAGAATATTGAAGGGGCAAATTTATTGTAAATTTCTCTTAATGAAAAATTTATACTTTCAAATATAAATAACTGCTTTTAGAATCTAGATTTATTGCTCCATTTTAATTTAAATTTTTGAACATTTTGTTTTCAGAATTTTAACAATAACAATTTTATAAAATCATTATTCCTTATCCTTGAGAAATAATTTTGAATAATTAACTGCTCTCAGCAATTATAAATTAAAAAAACCCATTTTCAAGGTTAAAATGCTAGGCATTTATCTCCATAACACCTCCCTAATTTTGAAAAGTATAACTTTCTTAAATCAAATAATTAATTTAACTCTAAGTTAAACTACTTTCTAAAAATAAATCATAATATTTATTCCAAAACTCTACTCCTATCTGATTATGATATTTAACTTAGATATTTTTAATTAAAATTGTATCTGAGTATAATTTAATAAATGTATATGAAGAATTTGTCAACACATTTTGATAGGAGGTTATCTTGTTTAGAATAACAGAGCTATAAAGTGAACTTATAAATAGTAAACTTGCAGAATTTTTGGTTGGATCAGCTGAGTATTAATTAAATGAATTCTCTGAAAATTAAATATTTTATAATTCTATCACTTATTTTTTTTCAGAGAATATAGATATTATTGAAAATATATTTCCTAAACTTAATTTTATTAATATATTTCCAAAACATGTTACATTAACTATTTTAATTCGTTCAGTTGAATAATAGGTGTCAAGATTGTTTGATAAAATTTCAATTAAAGATTAATCTATTGTATATTAATAATGAACTAACATATTTTCTATTTATAATTCTTAGAATCCTTAAACATAAATAATCTACAAATGCATTTCATTATTTTTTAAACAATCTTTTGATAGGGGAACTTTAAATTATTAAAAATCATTCTCAAATACAATATTCTAAATTAAAATTTTTGAAATGTTAAACAAATAAAAATATTTTTAATTTTAGGTATTTGTGATAAATACATTCTAAATCTTTAAAAATGATGATACTAAAATAAATAGATATTTCTAAATTTTCTCATAATGAATGTTTTCTTTAAAATATAAATTTTTAAGACTTACATAAGTTTGATTTTAAGTTTACGAATAATTAGCACTAAAAAAAGAAAAATTTTAGAAGGTATTTTGAGTTGCTTAGATTAAATCTATTTAGAGATTATTTGATGAAATTTAGTTCAACAATTAGGTCTAATTTAGTTAATTGTATTTCAATAAAAAATCAAAAGCAGTAATTTACTAATTAAATTATATTAATTAACTGTTCTAAAATTAACTATTAATAATCTTTAACTCAGTCATAATTATATTACTGTCATAGTTCTAAAGTAAACTTGAATCTATAAAAATTGAATCTGTGATGATAATTTGATTGATAAATAAAGTTACATTTGAATTTCGATCTGATATAAAATAAAAGATAGAAGAATTCTATAATTCACAACTATCAATTATCACATTTTTAATTATGATATCTTTTTAAATTTAATTAAGATTGAAAATAATTGAATTATTTAAAGTGCAATCTTTTATTTTCAAAAATTCAAATAATAGTTAATTAGAGTTTTTTTCAAAACAAATTAAGTATAGATTAGAATTATGTAAATTGATATTGACGATTGATACGTTCTGGAGTGAAAAATTATTAAATTTGTTTGCAATTATCGATGATTTAATTGAACTTTTTTCATTAGAAGTTATAAGAGTATCAATTATTTTAAAACCTAAAGGAGTTCCTCGGTTTTAAATTATAATATTCAATTCGATTTGAACAATTATTTATAAATTGTTAAATTCAATTTCATCAAAATTATGAATTTCAGTTGTTAACAGTATATTTGGAAAATTACCTTTTAATATCAAAAAAGTCTTTTAAAGCGAAAATATAAATTCTTTCAAAAGATTTTTAATTTCGTAAAAATTTTCACATATTCTTATCAAATTGACAGTAAAGGAGAAATATTAGAGACCAATTTGATTACTATATTCAATAAATTATTATTCATAATTTGAAAATATATTAGGATTATCACAGTTATATTCTATCTAAAATGTATTAAAGATAATTTACTTATTTTTCAAAAATTTAATCACAAAAATTATCATAACAAAATTGAGCAATTTATAAATTTGCATCAATTTTCACATTTTATTATGAAATGCTTTTAAGACATTAAGTTGTGTAAATGGAATTTTCTTCTGAAATTAAAAAATACTAATTAATTTCCTAAAATAATTATTTAAAATTACTTGTATTTGAACATTTGATCTTTATTAGCATAATTCACATAAAGATGGACAAATTAAACATTTTCTATTATCTGATGTTCTATGAGGATATTTATAATAGTTTAAAGAACACAACGAACAAATAAAAAATTAATTAGTTTATAATTTATGTACTTTTTAACATATTTAACAATTTTAGTGGCAAAATTAAATGCACTCATTTTAGAATAATTCATATCCATCCATACATTTTAAAGGACAAAGATTAACACCCCAATCTGTAATTGAATTCATTTTATTTGAATACCAAAAAGTAATTGAGAATGCTTAAGTTAATTAAACCCAAGCTTCTTTTTATTCAAAAAAACAAAAATATTCTTTTTTTATATTATTTGTAATTTAGTATGTTTTTGAGCAAAGTCCATTAATGGGTGATACGATATACCCATCCTCACAAATAATACATTTTAAGGTTTTCTAAAAAGTTTAATAACACTCTTCACAATTATATATGTATTGTTGGCAATGTATTATTGAAGGAGCTATATTGAAATCATTTACTGAAGATAATGTACAAGTCTCTTAGCCTTATAGATTAATATATGATCTGAGACAAAATTAAAGTGATGGATTTTAATAAACACAATCTCCAATAGTAAAGTCAAATCTAAACCCATCTTTACATTATGCACATCCAACCACAAATTATTCGTCACTATCAATTATAATTTTAGATTAAACTAACATAGTACTTTTGGATGGATCTAACCGATTATAATCGAAACAATAAACACAATTTTTAATTGGACATATTTTACAGGTATTGTGGAAAGTCCGATAAAATGGAGTTTCGCATATAAGATTGAATATTACAGATTAAAAAAAGCGTATACAATTATTAGACTCTAAAATTAATTCACCTCTGCATTTAATACACACAGGCCCTGATATTTAAATTTCATATATTTAACAGTCTACAAAAATATCTTTATAGCAATATTCTAATTATTCCTTACGATTATTTTGTTAACAAAAATTTCTAAAATATGTATGTGTAGAAATATAATCTTAGTAAATATTACCTTAATTTTGGCATTCTTCACATAACTTTAAATCTCTACCATCAAATACATAAAATTCTTGAATTTCATTCTTTAATTAGAAAGGACTTTAGATTGTTTCAGAGAAATAATACTTTTCACAATATGCATAATTTATCCAATCTTTTGGATTAATCAAACATTCTATACAGGTAACTAAATTTATAAGAAGTTTTGAAGGGCTATTTAATAATATATGAATACCATCTCCAACAATTTTCGTCAAATTCGAAGTATCCAAATTCACATTTTTTATGTTCTAATTCATTTTTTTTAAGATTTAACTTTAATAATTAAAAACTATAACATTAATCTTCATAGTCATATGTACTATGGACAAATACATGATTTGTGCTCTTTTACAAAAAATCTATTTTAGGATTCATGACATGATAAACAATCTGATTTAGTTGGTCCATCACATTAATTACAATTATTATGACATTAATTGTTTTCGGGAATAAATTATTCTGCACAATTAAAAAATTCTAACTTTCTCATTTCAACATTTAGACAATTTTAGCATTGTAATAAATTTCCATAAATTAATTAAAATTGAACAAATTGAAATTAAATTATCTCGCTCTAAAATTAATATTGATATATTTAAAATTCTTCATAAAATATTATTTTCACTAATATTTAAGTTTCAGATTTTTAAACAAATAAATGATGCCATAATGAAATGTTATGATTTATGTCAAATGATTTTGTTATTAAGAACGGATTATTGGATAAATCTAGTTTTACTGATGGAAATATTAAACTATAAGTAGTGATAATCAATTAATTTTAATTTTTTGATAATTTATAAAATAATTAGAATGCTGATAAATTGTCGTTTATCATTTAAGGATTTTAAAAGTTTGCACATAGCTTGATTAATTAATATCTGATCTATTCCTAAAAACTATTAATCTTCGTAAGTCTTATCCAACTCTATAATGCAAATGTATTAATATTTTAAAATTAAGATATATAATAATTTATTTCTAATTCTTATACATTTATAGTAGGTTGTGGTTACTGTATATTTATAAAGCATATTTCTTCAATTTCTAAAGATAATGAATTACTTATTATCGATTAAAAACTGCAATATTAGTATTTATCTAAAAATTAAGGAGATAATTAGTAAAATTCTCCTGGGAAAAATGAAAGCTTTGAGGTTTCTAATGAATAAAGTGCTTAATTATTGTTTACTACTAAGCCTCCTCCAAAAACGATAATCAAATTTACATCTTTAAATGGAAATTCAATTTCAACTTCTTTTTAAAGAATAACAGTTTCGAATTATAATATTCCAAATAAAACTCTAGCTTTTTTAGGAATTATCATCAAATTGAAAAAATACCATATAGATTCGTATGTATTTGGATCTATATTAGCTTAAAACTTATAAATTATATTATTACTACCAATAAAAGTTACTACCTTTTTAATATTCTTGTTTTAATAGTCCACACAATCATAATACAAAAAGTTAATTTCATCTTTTGTTTATTCTATTGCACTTAATTAATGATAACAATTGCTCTCTAATACTCCTACATCCCCAACTTAAGATATATTTCCAAGTGGATTATATTTACTCCATAACCCAAATGTATAGCATTCTGATGATGCAAAAGAGCTAAATTCACTCTTAAATATTGTGGTCTTATATTGGTATAAAGAATTGAATTCAAAAATAGTTTAGCATTTTGAAACTAGTTCAGACGAAATAATCAAAAGGATTTGAAGCTATTTCAAAAACATATAATTAATTATATATTAAAATTATTATATCATAGTCATAAATGCTAACTGGTTAGAGACGTCTCAAATAAATTTTATTTTTGAATCAAACAATTTCAGTAATAAGTTTTACTATTAATTTTTACACTATTTTTTATTTCCTGTTTTCTCTGAATCTGTAATTTTTAAGTTTAGTAACTATTATTGTTTTTCTTTTTACCATAACAAACTAACTTTTCAGAATTTAATGATATACTTTTTTTTGTTATTGTAATTAAATTTTTACTACGAGAGAAAAGTTTAACTTCATTAAATAAATCAAATTCAGTCATTAAATAGCAAAGATAAATTCTTCGTTAAATAAAAAAGGTTTTCTCAGTAAATTTTTTAAACAAAATACACTATATAATAAAATAATTAATAAAAAATTGCCTTCTTATAAAAAGTAACGAAAATCCAAAATATTATTCTATAACATAAAATAAGTTAGCTAATACTTAATGAAAAATTTATGTAAAATATTCCTTCATAAATTAATAGGTGTTAAATAGCGTTTCTTTAGCAATAATAAAATAATATAAAATTACTTTGATTATTTTATTATTTTTTTTAAAAACGAATTATTTTATTTTTAATACTAACACATTATTGATAAATTAGTAACTTTTAGTTGAAATATTCTTAAAAGTAATCAATGTAATTAGACTGGACAAAAATTTTCGGATATTTTAATGTCATCAAAAAATTACAACTTGAAAGTTTCACTATTTTCCTAAGCTATTTATGATTATTTAGAGAATTTTATATTAAAATAAATGATATCATAAAAAAGAGTAAATCATTTCAATAGAGAATCATAGACCAAAAAACTATATCTGTTCTCAAATTCAAATTCAAAATAAAATTTATTTATTAAGTTATTGGTTTAATTGATAAAATTAATTGAATTTTATTTAACTAAACATCATGTAAAAGCAATCTAACCTAACCTTGAAATCAGTCTTAATTTTTGTATTATTATTTACATGAAACATAAATAATATAAGCTTTAGAAATAAATAAAATTCAAAATGAATAAAAAAAATTTAACCTATTAGATGACAATAATTCTTTAAAATTGAGATTAAATTGGAAAACGATTCACACCAAAAAACATAGATATTACTAATGTGACTAAGCTTTGTTGATTTTTTTCTTAGTTTATATTCAAAGTTTGAAAATTTATATTGTTAAAGTATTGATTATATATTTGGCAAAAGATCAATTAGATTCTTAATAAATAATGGGCTGAATTATATGTATGAAGTTATTATTGAATACTTTTTATGAATAGATTTTAATAGTCAAATACTATTAACTAAGAACTTTTTTATGTAAAAAGGGAATTAATCTTTTATATTTGGGAGAAAGAAAAATACATTTATATTTAAAAGAATATTACTCTAAAGTAAATTATTATTTAAAAATATTAATTTAATATTATATTAATTCAATAAAAAAGGGAAGAAACAGCTTTTCTATTTTTTTTTTAGGCTTCTTTTTGTTTTTTAAGGTATCTCTTGATTTAGTTTTTTATTTAGACAAAGTATTTAATTAATGGAGCCATAATTCCACACATAAGCAAGGAAATTTATCCAAAGGCCAAATTAATCTAAATGGAAGGATTTAATAAATGTGAAAATGTATCATCAAATGATATACTTATTAATGAAAAAATAATAACTGGAATTTCAAAAACTAGAATAGTAATTAGATCTATCTTATTTTTTATCATTTTTCCAAGAGTAATTGTTGCTAAGTAAATAGAGTTTATTAATGCTATTAATATGCATTATAAAAGCGCATTTTTTTAATATCCAATTAGAACCCATAGAAATAAGAGTTTTTTAATTAATATTAGACCTTCATGACGAAGAAACTTTAATTTATTTATTGCTAAATGTGATTATTTTAAGGAGAATACATTTAATATCAATATTGTAATCATAATTAAAATAGAGCTTGCAATAAAATCTGATATATAGGTTCTCCAACTAATTATTTTAGGTGAAAAAAGATAAAGGAAAGATTTAAAAATTAAATCCCAACTATTAACTTAAACTACATAAATGAAGCCATTAATTGAAAATATTTTTAGAACACCAAAGCTTAATTGATTTAGTTTATGAGTAATATATGCTAATTTTTATGAAATGCTTAATTAAAAATTAATATATATGAAAACTCTTATCTGGCTAAATAAATTTTTAAATATAAATCTCAAATATATAAAGGATAGAATTAATAGGGTTATAGCTATTGCTAATTGAGCACATAAACCTTATAAATTAGTAATTAAATCAGAGTTAATATTATAAGTTAAAAACTTTCCAAAAGTTTCTTATTAATAAATTCCAAATATGTTGTAAAACAAATTAGAGAAGTTTAATTTTTAAAGTAATGGTAGAATAGTAACAACTTCAGAGGATTCAAAATAAATACTTAAATTTTCTGGGAAATTGACATTTATATATTTTAGATTTGATTAATATTGTAGGGTATCAAGCACTTCAAAGCATTCTACAGGATTTCCCGAGATTAGGATAAATAAACTAGAGACTCCAAGAACAATTAGAATAATCATATTGAATTAACTAATGTTATGTGATATTTTCTTTTAAGATTGGGTTAAAACAATAGGATTTTTTAAATGAATTTAATTTAGATTATTATCAACTAAAAAATTATGTTCATCAATTAATAAAGTATTTAAGGATATTGAGAAATAAATATCATTAGTTTATTATTATAAGAGTTGAATCTTAAACAAATAGATTATATCTTGTAAGTTAAAATAATTAGGTTCAACAATAAAGATTTCATCAATTATATAGGTAGTTGGATCAATATCAATAAGATTTGCATTTAAGTTTTTAGTTAAATTTTATTCTTGATTTAATAATTTAACTTAATGAGTAAATGACATTTCAATAAATAAAATATCAAATGTTTAATTAAGTACTTTTAAATTAAAATGAGGTGGTTAAATTTAAAGACAATAACTAGTTTCTAATTCTTTTTAAGAACATATCCAATTGATTTCAATTAGACATTAATCTGTACATCCATCTAAAGAGATGAGATTGTAATCATCACATTCTTCAAATTCAGACTTTATGCCATTGCCACATATATCTTGGCACTATTGATTGATTAATTAATATCCTTGAATACATTCTGAACATTATCCTTCAGTACAATCATAACAATTAAAAGGACAAGAAAATTAGCATTAATAGCAACCATCAAAGGGATGCTCATTAGTATCATCACATTATTCATTAGAAACAACAATTCCATCACCACAGATTGAAGAACATTCACTATTTAAATATTAAAATCCAATATCACATTTTAGAATCTCATCTAGACAGAATTAATGATTACAGGTATGACAATTATCTGAACAAGAATATTAACATTAATAACAACCATCATACTTAATATCATTACCATCATCACATATTTCATATCCTTCAACAATAATTCCATCTCCACAAATTGGAATACACTTATCATTTTAAATCTCAAAGTAATCTTGACACTTAAAACATTCACTTTTAGCATTACAATACATGCAATTTTAAGGACATTCTAATTTACAATCAAAACATCCATCTCCACTTTCATTATTCTGATCATCACATTATTCTTGAGAATTTATTGCTAATTATCCATCTCCACAAAATTAAACACATCTGAAATCAATTAAATTCCATCCTTAGATACATTGAAAACAAGAAGAATAATAACATTCTAAACATTCTAATTAGCAACTACTTTAGCAATCAAAACATCCATCAAATTAAATTTCATTTGAATCATCACAAAATTCTTATTCTTGTACAATACCATTATTACAAAGAGCTTAGCATTTCTTACTTTTTGATAATATATATTCTTCTATACAAGTTTCACATTAATCCAAGAATTATGTTAGACAATTTAAAGGTGAGATATAAAAACATAATTAATAATAATATGCAAAGATTCCATAATTCTCTATTTAGCATTATACTTCATTATTAAATAAATTATTATCTTAATTCATTATAACATGTTGTTCATATAATTTAAACTGAAAATTAGACAAATGGCAATATTACCCAATCTCATTTTAAGTTTCAAATCTAATAAGTTTTGAGCTATCTTCTATGTCACAAATTAATAACTCACAATTATTAAATCTTAATTAAAATTCAGAATTGCATTTTAAACATTAGCCATATGAACAAATACTACAATTTAATGGACATGAAAATTAGCAATTAAAACATCCATCAAAAGGTTATAGATTACCGTCATCACATTCTTCTTATGATACAATAATTTGATCTCCACATAGAGGCATACATTTTTAAGATATTATATCAAAGATCCAATATTATTCACAATTCATACATTGGCCTTTAACACAATGACTACATCCTTCAATACAATCATATTGCTATATAAAACATCCATCAAAAGCTATAATATTTTTATCGTCGCAAATTATATTTTCATCTTCAATATTCTCCTTTTCAGCATCTGTAAATATTTCGAAATCTCTAATGCCATAAAAAGGCGTATTTGTAGATACAGTTGAACATGATAGAATTTCAATACTTAAACTCAAAGTTTGACTACTAAATTAAAATTCAGGTATTTCAATTGTTCCTATTTTAAGATAAGATCCACAAACTGTCATAGTATTAATAAAAATATAGAGATTAGCATAATCTCTAAATAACACCACACCATTTCCCATTACTTATAATTGAACAGCTCCAGTAATATAAACACAAAAAAATTTAAATTAAATTCTTACCTTAGTATGGGGAGCATCCAAATTTAAGTTGATTGATGCTACTTCTGTTCTCAAAAATTTTCCATAATATTAAAAGCCTAGACTATATTTATAGAATTACTTCCACATGTATCCAAACCAGGAAAAGGAAAATTATCTTTTTTCCACCCTGAAGTATCTGTAATAATTGCATTTGCAAAATATACAAGAACTCTGTTCCAAATTATACAAATTCCATTAGAATCACAAGAATGACATCCTTTTGAACATTTATAAACGAACATCTTAAAATCTGAAATCCCCCAAGATGCTGCTGCTTATAGAGATTTTATTGTTATTATAGCACAAATACTATTATGCTAAATCTCACTGTTAATTTAATAAACTTATCCAAGAGTACCACTTCCACAAATCTAAGTTCCAGTTGATATAATTGGATGAGCTGAAAATGCAACAACTTCATCAATTATTAAATAATATGACGACCCAGTCCAAGGATCTAATCTAAAATCATATTTATAAATACTTAACCTCCAAAATTTGAATTAAAATGCTAGTTTAAAATGAGGTGGAAGTTAAATTGTTTTTGTTATAGCTGTCTCGTATCCAAATATTAATGGTCCTCCAAAAATATCACCAGTTGGACAGTTAGTAATATGGTTAGTATTACAACCTAAAAAAGTATACCAGCCTAAAAATAGCTTTACTGATTTACCATCATCATTATTAAATGGAGTAAAAAAGGATTAACTAAATTCAGTTTATGCTTCAGCACCAAAAAATACCATTAGGAAAATTAGATCAGCCAAGAGATATTAAGAAATATATTTATGTAATCCCAGCTTTTTGTTATTAATTGTTGGAACCAACTATATCATTTTTTTATTTTAAATTTAATTAAACATATATATATGACTTATTATATAAGATTTTAAATACTCATTAATAAGATATATATATAACTATTTAGTAAAGACTTAGATGACAATTATTCTTACTAAACCTTGAAATTTTATTTTCAAAATTAACTAAATTTTCTAAAATGTAAATTAGTTCATAATAATAAATGTTATTTTAAACTTTAATCATAATTAAGTCTTGTTAGAAATGATCTATGTCTCAATATATGTTCTAATTTCAAAAACAATTCATTATTAACTATATCTTGACATATCTATCATTGAGAACAATTTACAAAAAATTTATTGAAATAAAATTTTTTATTTATATATATATTATCAAAAATTATATTCAAATATTCAGCTATATTTTCTTAATTAATGAAAATTAATATATAATAATTCTTTCATTTTATCAAGCATTTATCAAGGAAAATTTTGATCACGAAAATACTATCCAAATCTTTTTGTCTGAAAATTATTTAGCAAAAAGTTATCTTATTTAATAACTAATAATTTGGTGTTAATTTAACAAATATTAATTGAGAATTTGAATAGGTCTAATCCCAAAAGTTTTATAATAAATTTAAAAAATTGTTATATCCAATCTTTTTGGTATCACCTTATATTAAATTTATTCATTTTAAAAATCGTGAAATATTATGTATACCTTCATAATTATTATCATTTTATTATATTCTAAAATCAGAGAATTAGTTAAAATAATTATTTTCATTTCTAGATAAAATTCAATTCACAATCATTATCCCATTCCAAAATTTTTTAATTTTTTTCATACTCATTATTAAAAAAAATATTCCGGTTGGATAAAATTTTCTTATTCTCTACTATAATGAATGGGTTCTGTAGGCGATTTCCATCTTTCTTTATTATAATGATAATTATGAACGCACTTGTGAGGTTGGAGAGATAACAAACGAGAAAATATATCAACTTTAATAAGATGGATCAGAATAAAAAGAGAGTAATTTATAGCTAAAATAATGAATATTGAAAAATAGAAAATTTGTATGGAGGCATAAAGTTTTTTAAGGAAGGAGTAAAGAAGGTGAAAGATTTTAATAAATGTTCGAATGTTAAAAATTATGGAGGATAATTTTTAACAGATAAAAAGCAGATAATTAGAAAATTCAATTTAAATTTTGATATAAAAATGTTCTCACTAATGAAAGTTAGCCCTTTTTTTAAATTATATTCTTAATTTTTTCTAAATTAATATATAAACTATATATATCAGAAAACCAAAATACAAAAAAGAGAAATAAAGTGATTTTATTTTGATCGTTAGATTGAATTTAAATGAGTTATCATAAAAATTTTAAATCTTATAAACCTTTTACTGATATCCCTTACAACTTTAAATTTAAAAAACAACTCCAAATTCTTTTTTAAAATTATCAAATTTTTCTATTTAAAAGGTTAAAGATTATCGGAGAGCAGAACAAAAATGTTTATATATATTTTACTATTATTGATCGAAAGTCTTGTTAAAAGTTAAATATCTTATCTATGAATAATGATTCAACTCATTATTTTTCTTGCTTTTTTTATTGTTATTTTATTTTCTATTTTTGTTAATTATAATTAGTTTATTTCATCATTTATTCTTATGTTAATATTTACTCTATTTATTTTTATTAAAAATACCTATTAATTTTTTAGCTTCTTTATGTTTGGGATTTATTTTAAGTACTTTATGGTAGCAATCTAATTCTTCCTTGCAAGACTTAATACAGTTTAATGAATAACCTACAAAATTGAATTTTTAGCTTAGTTATTTACCTTAATTCATTAACAAAATTTAGGCCATTTTATCGTCTGGCTTTAAGTTAAGCGCTTGATCAAAACATTCAACTGCATTTTTATATTGCTGAGTTATTTATAAACAAAATCCTAAACTTTATTTTCGCATTACCTTTTTCCATATAATATTCGATATCATATGGATTAATCTTAATCGCCTAATTATAATGATTGATTGCTTCACTATGTCTATTCTCTTCTCTTAACAAATTTCCTATATAAATATTAATTAATACCCATATTAAATTGAACCTATTCATTATTAGGATTGAGAGTTATTGCTTTTAAAAATTGAATTTCTGCTTCCTTTTATTTATTCAGATGAAATAAAGCAACACCTAAAATTATATAATTTAATACCTTTTTTATTATATGCTTCATCATTTTTTGGATTTATTTTAATTGCCAAATTAATAGTCTATAAACTTTTTTCTAATTAGTTTAATTCAATTAGTGCAGCACCTACTATTTTAAAAATCAATACTTTTGTTAATATAAGCTTAATCATTTTTTGGATCCATTTTAATAGCTTGATCAAATATTTTTAATGATTCTTCAAATTTTCCTTGACTTATTAAAGAAAGACCTTGATTAATGAATTCGTGGGATGATTTTTTTGAATTTTTACTCTATTTAAGATCCTTCTCTTGATTATTTAAATCTTCTATTGCTTATCCTAAAGTCTTAATTTTTTATTACTTTATTTTTATTTTAAAGAAGTTTTATCTATCTTCTTCTAGACTAATTTATTTTTTTTAATCTTGTTATCATTTTTCTTTTTTTCTTTTTACTTTAATCTTTTCATAATAGCAAAAATTATTATTTGATTAATTTTTATATTTTTAAGAATCTGAAAAAAAATATTTCTTTATGTTAATACATGAGATAAAATTATCAACATAATCTTAGTTAAGATTAAATCTAAAAAATTATTATTCTTCAACCTTTTTATTCCATAACAGAAAATATATAATTACTCATAAAAATATTATTAGAGAATTAATATAATTGAGCAATTTAATGTGATCTAATTAACTAATTAATAAAAATAATGTGAATGTATATTAATAAAACTTTCACATAAGATTTTTATATAATAAAAAAAAGAAAATTTTTTTTTATAATGAAAGATATTTATGAGTCCATTTATTAATATTTTTTAATCCAAACAGAAGTACTTCTATAGATAATTACAGAACTCAAGTGTTTCTTTTCCAACATAAGGATTGATAATCATTCTATGTATCGATTTTAAGAAAGAAAGAAATGGAAAGAGTTGTTTTTGATAAAAAGGATTAAGATTAATTTTTAATAAGAATTAAGCAAATTTCAGGATCATTTGAATTTCTAAAATAAGAAGATACGAATTTCAAATGTCTAGGAAATATAAAATTAAATCTTAAACTTTATTAATAATTTTTATTAATAAAAATTATTGCTCTGTTAATCTTGTTAACATGTAAGTTAAATACTTTAAAAATCTTGGTGCAACCAGCAATTTTAGAATAAAGTTAAAATGAATAAAAATAGTCAAATAATCAAGTTTTGTATAAAACTAATTTAATTAGCATCTTTTTTCTTCACAATATTTAATAGAGAAAGATAGATTATCAAATTGAAAGCATCATTTAGATAAGGATTAATTAAAGAAAAAAACATAAGAAGAATTGAAGAAACAAAGAAAAAGTCAGAAATAAGTTTGAATTTCAGGATTGACACTTAAAAAAAGAATCAGGTTTTTAATATCATGCGATTTTCACAATTACTAAAATTTATTTCGAAAATATTTTCTAAATTTAAAGAAGAGAGTAAGCATTTTATAAATTTTTTGTCTATCTTCCAGAATTAAACCCAAATCTATATGCCTCTACAATAAAATCTAAAAATCTATTTTCAATAATTTTTGATTTATTCTGTATTTCAGGATAGAAATAAACATATGTTATAGTTTAATATGAATATTGTTTTTTTAACCAGTTCAGTAGTTTTAATATTTATAATGAGAAGTAAATTAAATTGTGTTTATATACTAACATCATATTGATTTGGATTTATTATTTAAATTAAAAAAAAAATGCATACGTTATCCTTATTTAGAAACTTCTCCTTGCGAGGAGGTGGTTGTGCCGTTTCAAAATCCAATGCAATTTAATCATCAAATTAAATCACAAACCATACTGATGTCTATGATTTCTTTTCGTAATTCAATTAATATGTCAACATAATATGTTCTAAAGCTAGTATAGCTGCTAATTAATCTGAATCAGATGAAATAATGATTGCCATTTAATGGTTTAGTTTTTAAGATGAAAAAATTTATTTTCTCAATAAAAGTCCTTAAAGTGTGTAGAAATCATATGATTTAATTTTAGATGGAATCCGAAACTTATTGAAAAGCTGTTTGATATATTTAAAAACAGATACTTTTAAATGTTTGTATATATTATAGATTACTGCATCCCTATCTAAAGTAATCTTTAGTTTTCATTTAATGAATGAGGATAGATTTATAAAGCATGAAACTTAAAATGAATTCTTAGAAATTGCTGATGAATTAAAGGAATAATTTGAAATAGAAAAGAATGACTTAATCTAAAATTAATTGGATCTTTTTCTTTTTTTAACAAAAACATCTTTCGAAATAGCTCCTAATAATGCAAACGAATAAGAAGAAATTTTAAAAGGATGCTTAAAAGGTATAGTAAGTTCTATTTAATCAATGAGTCCAGATACAGACTTACTTGAATCATTATTTCAAGGTGCCTGTCATCTTTACAAAATGTATAATTTAAATTAGAAAAGAAAATAATATGAGGTTTATTATTAAATAGATATGTTTTAATGGGAGCTTATAAATTATTTTAAAAAAGACAAGCATACAAACTTTGAAGAGATTATTTCATAAATAGAGACTATATATGATACATTAGTAAAAGGATCAAATAATTGGATTGATCATTATTGTTGGATTTATAATATAGGAAAGATATTAATGTATAATCCTTAATTAAATAAAAAAAAAATAAATTAGGTGAAAGAATCTTTAAATTTAGAAGCAGTATAAGTAAATATGATTTGGAAAGAATGTCATAAGAAAGGGATTCTCATTCATTCTAACCATAATCAGAACGAAGCTATCATTTTACTCAATTAATTTAAAAATAAGAAATTAATTTAAACTGATAGATTAATATTGGAAGGTTGTTTCTAAGGATGGGAAAATTTTATTTAACTTAAAGAATATTTAATGGACGATGAATATTCTAATTAATTTTACACACTTGGATCTTATCTGAAATTTAGACTAAATATAGCAGATGAAAATGTCAATAACACTGAAGAAATTTTGTTATTAAATTAAATCTAGAATGTGTTTAGTTTTCTATTGCCAAATCAATTATTAAATTTGATTAAAAAAAATGATGAAAAACTTAGAATAGTGATTATAAACTTGAAAAACTTTATGAAAAATACGAAAGTTAGGTTAGCTCAAACCACAAATAAATAATAGATATAAAAGATCATCAGTAATTTAGTAGAATATTTTCAAAATATTTTATATATTATTAAGATAATCAATCTTAATTAAAATGAAATTTATTGTCAGATTGAATAAACACAAGAATAATAAACATAAAATTATAATAATATCTAAATGCTTAAATAATTATTAAGATATTTGGAATAAATATTATAATTATTAATCGAAGAGTTTAAAGAAAAGTCGAATGATTAAAAAAATGAGTAATAAAAACAAAATGAAGATATTTAATTACTTAAAGAATAGAAAGAAATTATTTTAACGGCAATTGAAAAACTCTTTTTTTCGGATGATAAAAAAAATTAATTTTTTAAGAATTTGAAGGAGAAGCTCATTTCCTTCAAAGAAACAAAATCCTATAATAAAAATTTTTTTTTGAAAGAAGCCCTTAATTTGTTAAACATAATTGAAACATCAACTAAAGAAATATAACAGCAAGAAAATTACACAATTCAAAATGATAATTTGATCAAATGTTTTCAAGATTTACTAAAAAATCTTTTTAAAAATTATAAGCAGTTGATTGAAAAACTCTAAATTGATTTTAAATAGTCCACTCAATATCTTTAAGAATTTATGGCCGTCAAATATTAAATTGAGGATTTAAATGCTGAAGTAATTTTAAGGATTTAATAATAATTTTAAAATGAAAAATTAATCAATAGTATATATCAATTAAGATTTGAAATGTTAGAACAAAAGCTAAAATTAATGACTTTTAAGGAGTCTTTCTAAAATATATTAAAATTAGCTTAGCTTCAAGAATTATAAAAGTTATAAGAAATTATCAATTTAGATTAGTTTCTTGTTGATGTAATTAAAAATTATCCAAAAAGAATAATTAGATTCAACCTGCAATCATAATCAGTAACTGAATTATAAAATATATAGTAAGAAGATTTGAAAAGTAAATTATCAAATTAAAAAGGAATGATAGAATATTTGATATTCAAGTCAAAAATAGAAGAGCAAATGAATGAATCAGAAAGATTAGATTTTCAGTTGATTGAAAATGAATTTGGAGAACTATTCATTGAAGAATCTTATTCTTCATTACTCTTTCATAAAATTACAAACATAATTAATTGTTTTAAATTCTAGGAAACATTATAAATTATAAAAGAATAAAACTTCAATCAATTTTAACTAAAAATTGAAAAGGAAAAATATGAGAATTTAGTAAAATAATTAAGAAAAGTATAAGAATCTGGAAACTAAAATAATAAAGATTTCAATTACTTTGAATCTTTAAAAGAAATAATTAGATCGATTGAAAATATTATTTAACCATTATAAAGTTTTCTAAATTAAAGCATAGATAATCTTTTAAATAAGAAAATTTTTAAAATAATGATTAAGGAGAGATTAAATCAATTTTATGATATTTATTCACAATTCTAAAAAGAATATGAACCAAAAAATTCGTAGAACTTTCTAGAGCAAGTACATCCAATAACATTAAATATGTAATAAAATTAAAAACAGGACTCTTAAGAGGAATTAATAGAAAATAAGAATGATTAATTTAAACAATCAGAAAATAAGTAAGAAAATTAAGACTAAGAAAATGGATAAGAAATAAAAGATAAAAAATTAAATAATGATCAAATTGTCGAAACAAATAAATAAAATAGTTTAAATCCTGACAAAAATATCAAAACCTTATAATCTATTCTTAAGATTATAAATCTAAATTCTATTGAGATAAAAGAAGAGTAATTATTTTTGCAAAAACTACTTTTAGAAATAAACAATTTTTCAATTTAGCTAAAATTTATTTCGGAATTGAAATAAGAAGCTAAAGAAAAAATTCGCCAAAAATTTATCAAGTATTTTTAAGATTCGATAACCAATTTTGAGAAAGATCAAGAAAGTAGAATCATATTGGCGATAGAAAAGAATGAAAATTTGAAGATATATATGAAGAGTATAATTGTAGAATAAAAAATATCAGAAACAAATAGAAATGAAAAAAATAATTAAGAAAAAGGTTGTTTTAAAAAATAGAATTTAACTAATTTTCTGAATAAATTAAGAGTTGATTTCAAAGAAAAACTAAGCTAAAGTTGTTAATAAACATAAATTTATTTTGAATAAAAATTTCTGATTCAATAAGCTTAAAAAATATATTTGTTTGATAAATTTTAAGAACCTGTAGACGAAGAATAAAATTAACAATTAGGATTCTTTGATTCATTGTTATAAAAGTATAAAGATTTTTAAAATCATGATGAATGGAAGATTAAATAAGGATTAGTGTTTACAATTATTTAGATTTCTTCTAATTGCTTTACTGATTAAATAATTTAATTTTGTTAGAAAGCACTTATTTAAATTTGGACAAAAGAAAAAGATGAGAGAGTTAGAAATCTATTAAAAAATTAAGAATTGTTAAGTATGCAAAGTCAGATTTTACAGAAAGATTGGAAGACTTAACATGATAGAATTGCAAGTGAAATGTAATAAATGTTAAGAAAAATTGATGATTTATAAGAATAAATTGCAAATGAGGCTAATCTTAATAAACGAGATCAAATGCTTTAAGAATTAGATGATACAACTTTAGAACTGGATGAGTATATTGAAAATATAAGTGAGATGGGCTTATAGCTTAAATTGATAACTGACTTTGTAAATCATATCAGAAAGGGATTAATGAAAGTTGAGAGGAAAATTACTTAGATGAAAGAACAATTAAATAATATTGGTAATGATATCAAATTTCTCAAAGGAAAATCAGTTGATTATTTGCTAGAAATTAGAAAATGGAAAGTATTAAAAGAGGCAGCATAAAAAAATGTAAATTCCATTTATGTACCATTAAAGACCTAAGAAAAAGGATAAAATAATTAAAGTAATTTAATAAATTTAGAATAATTTGATGATAAAGAAGGTGAAGTAAATGAGTTTTTATTAGAAAAATAAAAGATTGTTTTATTAATACATGGAGTAGCTGGATCAGGAAAGAGTACCACTGCTAAAAAAATAGAGGAATTTATTTGGAAATTACATAATAAAAATATCAGAATAAGAGATTAGATCCTTATTCCTATTTATATTTCTTTACCTTCTTTAAAAAATCCAGTTAATTAAGCCGTAGAGGAAACTCTTAATTAAGATGATTATGGTTTTGATGATCTTTAATTCAGAGAATGTAAAGAAATGTTGGAAAGAAAAGTTTTTAGATTTTTACTTATAATGGATAGTTATGATGAGATGAAGTTAGAGAACATCTAAAAAAATTTATATATTTCTAACAAACTACTTTAAAATTGGTCTAATCCCCTTGTTATTTTTACTACAAGAAGCGAAATTTTTACCAATAGCAATTATGCTGATTGGTTTGCTACTGAAAATAAAGAAGTAGAATTTAAAGAAATCTAACTTTTATAATTTGATGAGAGTTAGTAATTGAGATATTTAAAAAAATTTTCTTATTTAAGTATTAAGATGTTGATTTATGAGGTTTATGAAAGGTAAGTTAAACTAGAAAAAGAAAGAACAGTCGAAATTTAGAAGTTTGAGCAGAGTTGGGATAGATTATAACAATAACTACTATTTTTAAATGAAGAGATTAAGGAATCAGAAAATCTTCTAAATATAAAATAAATAGAAAGCATTGTTGCATTTTTGAAAAATGATAAATTTTATAGTTAGTTAAGCAAAGAAGCGTTCAGAAGCTTGAGCATTAATTTACAAAATCTTTGGAGTATCTAAAAGTATCAAAAAATGATGAGAATGATTAATTTAGATAAATTAATTGAAACTCCATATATGATGGAAATAGTAGTTTAGGTATTACCATTGATGTCATTAAAGGCAGCATAATTTATTAATTTAAGAAGAACATTTATTAAAAATTTCAAAAAAAGTTTTTCTGAATTTTTTTTAAGTAAATCCAGAATCAAAATTTATCAAGATTAATAGAAATAGGTATTAAAGTAAATTGATATTGTTAAAATTTAAGAACTATTAGATAAAATTGATTATTAGCAATTAGCTGCTTAAATTTGGAATTAAATGGAGCTGAAGCAAATTATTAAGGATTTTTAAATAACTAATGAAATGAATGAGCTTAAATAAAAGATTCAAGAAAATTGTTTACAGTTTTTTGATGACAGCAAAGGTATAGTCAAAACATTTAAAATTGAAAATGAATTTATAATATAGTTAATATGTGATGCTTTAAAAGAGTAAAAACTAACTAGCTATGATTTTTATGATGAATTTATAAGATAATATCATTTGAAATAGATAGAAAAATAAAGATATTTAGGAAAATCTATCAATGTTGATCGTTTTCTTCATGATCTATAAAAATATTCTATAAAATTAGCAAAAGAAATGAGCAAGAAAGAGATCACACAAGTCTAATTTAAATAATAAGGATTATTATATTAAGAAATCGAATAGGTAGAAGAGTGGTTGGATGAATTTTTTAATGATGATAAAAAAAATGGATCATATAAGAAAGATATAAGAAGCTGTTCTCTAATTTAGCAGAAAGGTTTAAGTTTTTAATTTGTGCACAAATCCATACAAGAATTTTTAATTGCTGCTGATTTATATGATATTTTGGTGTTATCAAAAGATCTTCAGACAAGAATATTGAGAAAAATATTAGAAATCATGACTAAGAGGAATCTCTCTTTTTTTCTTGATAATCAAAGGATGGAAAATATTTAAGATACTTACATAGAAGAAAGTAATTTAAATAATTTCTCTCCTTATGATAGGCAAAAAGAAATCCGTGAGATTGAAATAAATATACAGAAACTTACAAATCTTATCAAATTGATAAAGTCACATGATTTTAATAAAATTACTTATTCAACTGATAACTATGGAGAAACTAGAAAGTATCTTATTTAAAAAATTTCTTCAATAAATGAAGTTATTGAATTTTTAAAGTTCTTAGTTCAGCTCACTTCAATCGATAGGAGGTTTATTTATAGTGGATCCAATTCTCTTAATCTATTGGTTGAGATGAAAGTTGATCTAACTTAATAGTGTTTTTAAAATATCAGAATAGAAAATACATCATTAATTGGGGCAAGTTTTGCAAAAAGTGATTTAAGTGGTTCCCAATTTACAAATGTAAAAATAAATAGTATAAATTTGAATGGATCCTTATTATTGAATTGTAATTGGGAAAATTTACAAATTAATGAGTTAAATAAAATAGAAGGCCATACTAACTGTGTCTATTCAGTGTGTTTCTCTCCTGATGGTAATACGTTAGCATCAGGTAGTGAGGATTATTCTGTCCGTTTGTGGGATGTAAAGACAGGATAATAAAAAGCCAAATTAAATGGTCATAGTGAAAGTGTCCGGTCAGTATGCTTCTCGCCAGATGGAACTATTTTAGGATCTAGCAGTACTGATTCCTCTATTCGTTTATGGTATGCTTAGGATGGAAAATAAAAAGCCAAATTAGATGGTCATAATGGAACTGTCTGGTCTATATGTTTCTCACCAGATGGAACTACTTTAGCATCTGGTAGTACTGATTATTCTATTCGTTTATGGGATGTTAAGACAGAAAATTAAAAAGCCATATTTGAAGGACATAATAGTACTGTCTATTCAGTATGCTTCTCACCAGATGGATCTACTTTAGCATCTGGTGGTGGTGAAAACATAATTTTATTTTATTTAAATTATTAACCGGAATAGTAGTTGGAAAGTAGTCATAATGGTAAGGTAAATTCAGTAAGCTTCTCACCAGATGGAAATATACTAGCCTCTGGTAGTGAAGATAATACAATAATTTTATGGGATGTAAAATCATTAATAATAATTAAAAAATTAGAAGGTCAAAATTGCCCTGTTCAATCCATATGCTTCTCGCCGGATGGCACTACACTAGCCTCTGGTAGTCTGGATGATTCTATTCGTTTATGGAATGTAAAATCAGGAAAAGAAAAGAAAAGATTAGAAGGTCATAATAATTCAGTTTATTCTGTATGCTACTCCCCTGATGATACTATATTAGCATCTTGCAGTCGAGATTTTTCAATTCGTTTATGGGATATAAAATCAGAACAGGACAAGAATAGATAAGAAGGTCATTTAAATTGGGTCTGGTCAGTATGTTTTTCTCCTGATGGTTTTACATTAGCATCTGGTAGTCGTGATAATTCTATTCGCTTATGGGATGTAAAGTCAGGAAAAGAAAAGAAGTAATTAGAAGGTCATTATGGTTCTATTTGGTCAGTATGTTTCTCTTCTGATGGAACTCTACTGGCATCATGTGGCGGAGATAATACCATTCGATTATGGGATGTAAAATCAGGACAATAAATGAACAAATTATAAGGCCATTAAAAATGGGTTTGGACAATATGCTTTTAGGTTGATAATCATTCTATAGCATCAGGAAGTGAAGATAATACTATAATTATATGGGATGCAAGTTCTGGGTAAGAACTGAAAAAATTAGTTGGACATACTGATTGGGTCATGTCGGTCTCATTTTCTCCTGATGGTTCAATATTGGCATCTGGTAGTAGAGATAATTCTATTCGCTTATGGGATGCAAAATCAAACTCATGGGAAGTATTAAAAGTGTTATAAAGCCATAAAGGTTCTATCTACTCTGTATGTTTTTCTCCTGATTCTAGTTAAATTGCATCTGGTAGTGAGGATAAAATTATAATTTTATGGGGTGTAAGTTCTGGGCAAGAACTGAAAAAATTAGTTGGACATACTAATTGGGTCATGTCGGTCTCATTTTCTCCTGATGGTTCAATATTGGCATCTGGTAGTAGAGATAATTCTATTCGCTTATGGTATGTAAAATCAGGAAAAGAAATAAAAAAATTGGAAGGTCACAATAATTCAGTTTAATCAGTTTGCTTCTCTTCAGATGGTATTACTTTAGCGTCTGGAAGTGGAGATAATTCTATTCGTATATGGGATGTGAGTTCAAGCCAAGAAAAGGAAATCATGGAGCTACATCCAAACTCATTCTGGTAATTGTCTTTTTCTCCTGATGATACTACTCTAGCATCTAATAGTGGAAATTATTCAATATGTATATGGAATTTAAAAACAGGAGAACAGATGAATTAATTAAAAGGTCATACAAATCAAATTTTACAAGTGTGCTTCTCTCATGATACTTCTATTTTAGCATCTGCTAGTCTGGATAATACTCTTCTTATATGGAATTTGCAATCACAATAAATAATTAAGAAATTAGATAGTTCTATAAATTTGTACTGTACTTTATGCTTTTCTCCAAATGTTACTTTATTAGCATCTGCAAGCCAAGACAATTGTATTCATTTGTGGGACATATCTCAAGATTATAAAATAATTTAATCATTTTAGCATTAAAATTAGATTTTATCAATTAGCTTTTCACCTGATGGTTCGAAATTAGCTTCTGGATGTAGGGATTATATTATACGACTCTGGAATTTGAATTCTGGAAAATTAGATAGGGAATTAGAAAGTCAAAATGGTCCTGCATATTCAGTTTGTTTTTCTAAAGATAGCATGAAATTATAGGCGAGTTGTTGGGATAATTCTTTTTTGAAATGGAATGTGAATTCAGGTAAGTAAATTGACGAAGAATTCCAGACAGAGTTTAGTAATCAATTAAACGAAAATTCATAAGGTAAATATTTATTTATTCAAAATTAAGAAATGCTAACAAAAGTTCGTATTTCTCAAAAAGATAAGTTTGAGGCAAATGGTACTAAAATTTTGAAAGGTAAGTTTATTAATCATTTGGGAATGGATCTAAGAAAACTATTTCAATAAAAAGGAAGTATCATTCTAGAAGATAAAAAGAAATAAGAGGACGAGTTGAAAAATTAAAAAAATTGAGCTTAAAATGAAACCTGTTGGTTTTTTTTATATCCAAAAAAAAATTAATTTCTTTTTAGTATTTTTTTGATTTGTTATTTTTTCAAATTAAAATCTTTAATTTCAGCCTTAACTTTATTATTAAAGACTTCTTTAAACTAAATATTAAAAAGAGTTTCAAATTTAAAGTTTTTGTAGAGTTTCCATCAAATTCTTTAAGAATCTTTTTGAATTTAAATCTCAAGTATTTGAATAATGAAAGGATTTGTGATAAACTTAAAGGCATTTTAAGATATAAAGCTTAATTTAAATTTTAGCAATTAATTTATTGAATGATTTTAGATCAATATGTTTTCCGATTAATAGTTTATTAGATTATAACAATAAATTTTATATTTAACCTGTATATTTTACGATATTTATAAACTACTTAATTAATTTAAAATTTCGTTCAGATTTAATATAATAAACTTCCTTGGCATTAATTTAGCAAACCAAAAGAATTTCGAGTATATTGATGAGGTTATATGAAAATCTACACTTTAGCTATATAATATTAAACTTAATTTTCATCTAATTTTCGCCGTATTGTATCACAGATGGTAAGTAGATTATATAAATATGAATAAAATATCATTATCATTATCAAATGATTCTAAACAACAGAGTTTGATGAAAATTATTAATCCTAAAAATCAATGTGACGAAACTGATTTAAAATAAAACCCTATTGACAGATTTTTTGAAATAAAAGTGAAAGACCCTTCGTTGGTGTAAATTATTTTTTATCGATAAATTCATAAATTTTCAGTCTTTATTCATTATTACATAGAATTATCTGAAAATTATCTTTAGAGATTTTTGTAGATGCTGATTTTAGATAATATATTTTCTTGAAAAAATTAAAGAATTCAATTTAACTAAATATATAGATTTTCTTTTACTCTTC